TATTGCATAAAGTATTTTAGACTTGGACACATTGAATTTCATGTACTACTAACATGTTTGTTATTCTTTGTTGAAATTCAATTTTGTTTAAGTGTCAAGTTTTTAAAGCTAAATTTTGTTTGGACTGCATTTATTAAGGGGAGCTTTGATTTTTCAAATGATTTTTAAATGTCAAATTTACTACTTACTCTCCAAAGTTATTTTGAACTTCAAAGATTGAATTATTTTTATATAACAAAAAGGGGGAGAAGTTTGGTTTGAAAAATTCAATTTCTTAATGAAAAAATGGGAGCTTAACATTTTCATATATTTTCCAACAATTGGTATCTTTTTAACAATTTATATCCTTTTGTTAACAATTGGTATCTTTTTTATTAAACATTTTATTAAGGGGGAATTTTGTCAAAAACAATTTTTCAAATGTTTTGTTATATCAAAAAGGGGGAGATTGTTGAATTATGTTTCGATATAACAAATTTAAGGCAAAAAGTTTTTGGACTTGAATTGAATTTATTCAAAGTTTTAAAAAGGTTTCAAAAATAATTAAAAGTCCATTAAATTCAGATTTGAGCAAAAATGCTAAAGGGTGTCAAAGGGTATCGATACACCCTGCAGTGTATCCATATACTAGTGTATCGATACACCCTGCAGTGTATCCATACACTGGTGTATCTATACACCCTGCAGGTGTATCCATGCACCTGTGACTGCTCAAACACCGAATACAAATAGTATACCGATACACCTATGACTGTATCCATACACTAGTGTATCGATACACCCTGCAGTGTATCCATACACCCTGGCTACAACGGCTAGTTTATTTGAATTTAATGAAGCGGTACCGATACACCTTGATAGTGTACCGATACACCCTGTTATGGGCAACCTATTTTATCCAAAACATCCCCAATGGCTAGATATGACTTCAAACACATTCCAAACTATAAATACAAGCTAAGGACACTTGAAGAAGTAAGAGAACAACTATCAAAGCAATCAAACACAAGAGAATAAGTTTTTCATTCTTATTTTCATTCTCTCTTGCAAATATTGTTCTTGTGAGCAGAATTCTTGTAAACACCTACCTTTGAGAGGTTTATTTGTTTATTTTTTTTATCCTTTTGTAAAGGGGAAAGGTTCTAGCTAAGCCCGTGAAAAAAATAGGGAAAGGTTCTAGTTTAGCCATTGAAAAAACTATGGAGTTGTAAAGGTTATCTCTTTGTCCTTGAAAAAAGAAAGAACAAATTAGTGAATTTGTTGGAAAATACTTGGTGAGGAGCTAAGTTAGTGAATGTAGACTTGGTTGAGAAGTCGAACCACTATAAATCGTTGTTCAAATTTTCTATCTTTCAATCTCCTTACTCCCTAAACACAAAAACCGTTCCGACCCCTCTTTGTAAACCATTCCGGTTATCGATTCGAGCTTATGCAAATCCCAACAACGACCCTTCTAACTTTATTCTTGTATTGATCACCTTTAAATGCAAATTCTGATTTAGATAAACGCGATGTTGTAGGAATAAATTGCCTCGATCCATATTGTCTAGAAACCAACAAAGGTATATATCCCACAGAACCCCAAATGCCTGGCAAAGGAACCCAATCATGCTCTCCACATCTATACAATATATTTGAAGAAGTATTCCATGTTGTATGCCATAATACGTCATTATCTTTAAAATTTTTGAAGATATTCATCCATTTTTCTTCAGTGTAACCCCCGAGCCATTTTCTGGAAAAGAAGTCTTGTAAGGGTGAAAACTCTTCCAGAAATACTCGACCATGTGTGTTTTCCTCATGTTTGAGATGATTAAGAATCCATACTAACAACAAAGGTGCACAGGCTATAAAGCATCCATCTCCTTCACGTCTGCAGGAATTCAAAGAACGAAATGTTTCAGCTAAAATAGCTGGAACAAGGTCTATGTTCTTATCCAATCTTTCAATCAAATCCACGACTGATATGTCCACATGCCCCATAATTTTTGGAAAATGATCAACCCATAAATACCTAAAGCAAACATATCAATCTTCCATCTTTTGTTTGGATGAAGGTAAATCACTTCTTTCAGGGCAGCCCAAGTGATACATTCACTATCACCCTTCTTTTTGATATTTTTGGTGACCCACTCTTCACTCATTCCAGTCATTAGGAGTACTTTCGTCTAAAAGAAGCAGTATTAGGTGGTTTGGTATATATCATGTCTTCCTGAGATCTTGGATAACTAATAAGATCTCGATATTCCTCCATGGTAGGCGTTAGATCCACTCTACCAAAGGTGAAGCAACTATAGGCAGGATTCCAAAATTGTGATAGAGCTCTAAACAAATGTCGATCAATTGGGATGTCTAAAAGATATGTAATATCACCATATAATTGGTAGCACAACTGCTTTTCAATTGTTTCCCATTTTTCCCATATTTTTTCAGCTCACTCAAATTGTTTTGACAGACATTGATATGAGTATAACCAATCAGATCTTACATGTATCCCGGTAATAGGCTATCTCCATTGATAAGTTGAGATTGCTCAGACCATCTTAGAACAACTGCATTATCGTCTACTTCATGAACTCTCCATTCCATATTTCTAGCTTTCTATATGGACATCAATCATGAATCAACACCATGGTATGAAAAATGTAATGCAAAATGAAAATTAATAGAAAATTCAACTAAGAGTAATTAGTTAATAATCATAAAAAATCCTAGCTTAATGCAATCTAGTTCCATACATTTCTTGGAAAATAAAGTAATACTATGTAAATTAAAAAAAAAACTCAACAAACTTTCCTTTTTGTAATGACCTTACAAGACTCTTTCGGGTTAGGCTCTCTTAAACTCAAGTTCTATGTTTATTATATATTGGGTTTGGTTCTGTGGTAAAAAAAGGTCATCGAATTGTCCTTTGTTGGTGTCCCCTTGGGCTGCCAAACGCTCAATCCTGGTCCATCACTGACTTTCGGATCGAGTTCAATCCGAAGGAACATACTTCCTTATGTCCATAAGGAGGTGAAAACCACGCGAGGAACATAAGGTGTGAGCTCAAGGAATGGTCCCCTATCCCATACAGAGGTGAAAACCACACGAGGGAGTAGTTTCTCATTCAAGCTAAATAGGATAAGAGTGGGGTTTTAGCTCATGTCATGATAATGCAATGCACAGTGTGTGAGGAAAAGCAGAAAAAATGTACAACATACAAATTTATTCCTGAAATCTAAAGACACATAATTAAATCTGAAAACGTTAACAAACAAGTTAGTACAACTATTTAATTGTTAATTAATTCAAAAAAATGGTTATTCAATGGATCAAAAATTAAATTAATAAACTTATAATTTATTGCAAAGATAATTAATTACTAAACTGGTGGCTTGACTCTCTAACAAAAAATTTGTCCCCAGTGGAGTCACCAAGCTGTCGAAACAGTATTCGCCCGGCGAAAACAAGTGTCGTTATTTTCTAAATCTCATTTCGAAAAAATAAGTATTTTTCTTCTGACATAAGATAAAACACAATTTTGAGGAGTCGCCACCAATCATTTGTCGAGGTGTGATTGGTCACCAAAAATGCTATGTTATTTTAATACAATTTATAAAAATATTATTAAAATAACACAAAAAGGGTATGCTTACTAGAAAATGAGTTCGGGAGTCAATTACGTGTGGGGAAGGATTATCACCCCACAATGCCCAAAATCGGTACCTTTGTTTATTAATTAAATGTCTTTGTAATAAAATTTATAAGTTTGAATTGAATTTAATTTATGATCTCATAAGAAAAAACATTAAGGATATTATTTTATACCAATACTCATTTAAAATACATTCCTAATAAGTTAAGGAAATATTTTTTTTATTCATTGTGTAAAATAATATAACCCGATTAATTTAATGATTGAATCAAGAAAATATATAAAAATTAAAATCACTATTGCAAATACTTCATATTACAATTTATAAATAATCCTACAATCTTATTTAAAATATTAAAATTATGGGATTATTTCATAAAATATCAACATTAGAGGTTTAATATTAATATATACATAATATATGAAATATTATAATAGTCCAAATATTATTTAAAATTAAATTATTAAAGCTTAGGGATTAAATTATAAAAATATAAAAATTAATCGCCATAATTTGAAATATCATTAAATTTAGGTATTAAAAATGTAATTTAATCTAATTATTATTCGGGATCAAAATATAACTTAATAAAAATAATAAGGACTAAATATGATATTAATATTAAATATATATAAATATAAGACAATGATTAAAATTTAAATAAAACAAAATAAAAATCCAAATTAAAATTAAAATGCACAGAAAATTATTTCAGTGACTAATATAGAAATTTATAAAATCTTAGGGATTGCGAACATAGTATACATGTGACTTAAATTACATATATACCCCTTCCCCAAAACGTCACCGTATGGGGAGGGTATTTAACCCTAAATTCAACCCTAAATGACCTTAACTCTCTCATTTTCTTTATTTTGCTTCTCTCTCTAAGAGAGAGAAGCTCTCCCTTCTCTCTAAAACTCTCTCACCGGAGGGAGAGCCGGCCACCTGCCGTCGTATATCGATGGTTTCCGCCACTGAACGGTGGCCGAAAAATATAAAAATACACCAAATCGACGGTCGGAATATCCTAAACCCAAATCCAGCCTTCTTTCCTCCTAAAAAGCCCTAGTATTTCCTAGATCTAAGTTTATACCTTCGGTATTTTGGGTGCTCTGACGACGCTTGGAATCTCCGATGATTGAGGGTAAGTTTCACTCTTCTTCCTTCTTTCGGTTTGCTGTTTGGTGTCTTGCTTGCTCCCGTGTCTTCGTTGTGTTTCTTTTTCTGTTCGATTTTTCTTATTGTGTGTCTTCTTTCTTTGCAGGATTTCAAGGATTTTTATAGGCCTCGACGAGCCACTCTTCGGATGAAACCTTCGGTGAGTCACCGAAGCTATGATGTTGACTCACCGTAGGGACTATGTGTTGTGCGGTAATCTCGTTGGGTGCATTAAATGCACCCAGATCTTTGGGGTCCATTTGGTGCGGCGATAATGGTATGGCAATCACTGGTTTGAGCATTTGGGGAGCAGTTGGAGGCAGCGGAGCAGTTGGAGGCAGTGGAGCAGTTGGAGGTGGCGGTCGAAATCGTCCTAGGGTTCAACCCTAGGGTTTCTGCTGGAATGGATCTAGACCGTTGGATCTCTCTAGATCCAACGGTTGAGGATGTTGGCGGCTGGAGCTGTGTGGAAACCCTAGCAGAAAACTCTAAACGTGTCTTGGGCCTACTGGGTCGTCTAGGCCGAATAGGGTCTAGACCGGGTTTTGGGCTTAACTCGGGTTGAACTTGTAAACGGGCCTCCGGGTCCTGATTTGTAAATTATAATAATAATAAAATTTATTATTTATTAATAATAATTATAATGATAATATAATATAAATAATAATATAAAAAGGACGGGACGAAAATGTATGTCGACAAATTCCATCCAAATTTGTTGTTAATGATGTTAGAGAACATGTTGCAAGTCGTACTTATCTTTGATATGTGAAGTAAGAGAATGATCATTTGCTTCCGGGCTTTTGTCCATTGTCAATTTGAATGTTCTTTCTCAATTAGTTGGAGCAAAATTGTCGGTATCAAATTGCAGTGCCGTCTTAAAATAGAACGGAGAGAAGCATTATATTTTCAATTCAAGTAGAATGAAAGGAAGCATCGCACTTTCAATTTAAGTGTTCATCTTTACATTAAAAAGGTCGAAGAAGTCGGGTGAATGTTAAATGAAATAAATAATTGTTAGATTGTTAAGAATTAGTCAACTAATACGGTTATCTTGTTGTTGGGCAATTAAGAGCCATTGTATTCACGTGATTTGTTGTATATAAATCCTTGTATACATTACTGAATAAGATAGATCTTCATTCCTCAAGTTTCTATTCCTTTGTTATAATATTCCATCACGTCTCAAAATTTATCCAAAACTCTCTACCGCAAAGTTGATGCATCTACATTGTCGGTTTCGTTCTCTGAATAAAGGATTACTTTTGAAGCGACAGCACACAATGTATATAAAAGAAGGATTTGTGATCTCTTTGTCACATGTAGAAACTCAGTAACTAAAACTGAACATTTTACTACGATCTTGAACACTCTTCCCTCAGAATATAAATTGTTCATAGAAATGCTATTCTTGTCATGAGTCATACTCCTTGGATGCAGTTATATTAGTTATTATGGATGTTGAATCATGCATCACTGACGTGCACCCGTGACATTTACTTTAAGTACAATTATATCGCTCCGACGTTAATGATTTAACGAGACGATGACATAATAGTTGCACACTTTGATATTGTTGACTTAATTGACTTATTAAAATAATGTCGTTTTGATAGACTGTTTTAATGTTCAAAAAGTTCAATACGACATCATTTTGTTAGTCACTTGAAAAAGAAAAAAACTTAGATTCAAACCAAAAACCTTTAAAGTTTAATGTTAAACACCCAACCACCAAGCTTTTGTTATATTCTTAACAAAATTAATATATAATTTAAATACCATGTTTATATTCATTACCTCCTACAAACTTGAACGATAGGGTGTCCATCGATCTAGCATCTCTAAGTGCGAACTGGTTTATATTCTTAACATTTCACTTGAAAAATAATATAATTATAAAAATTATATTAATAAATTATATTAATTCAAGCTGTTCTTTAACTATTTTTGTTAAGAATACAAGAAGTTCTTAACACAACTTGGTGGTTTGTCTTTAGCATTAAATCTTAAAAAGGCCTTTGGCTTAAATCCTATGGATATCATTTTTTTCATAATGACAATAATAAAATATTATCGTTTTGAACTTTTCGTGTACTAAAATAATCGTGTCAAAATGCTCAAAACGATAATATTTTAAAAAGGCAACCATGTTAATAATGTCATGACGCGCAACTGTTATGTTATCGTTTCGTTAATGGTGAAATGATATAATCATACTTAAAAATAAATACTAATGATAAAATTGATAAAATTAAAAATTTGATGGTGTAAACAAATTAATATTTAAAATTTAAATTTGGTGATATGTGAAGTATTTTCCCTTTTCGTAATAGATAGGAAATGAAATAGGCCATGTGGCTAGACAGAAACGGTACGTAATAGCCATCAATTTGAAGCTGAAGCCTGACTAATCGTACATCGAAAAGGCTACCATTTTCAGTTACCTCAAATTTCACCATTTATAAACTCTTCACCCCACTTACAATAACTCGTTTCATTCTTCTCCCAATTAACTTATTTCTCAGTCCACAATGGCTCAGGTAAATTTCTCTTTCTCTACTTTCATGTTTATCATCTTTTATTCTTCTAAGTTTCATGTTTACTGTTGTAGCAAAAGGTGGTTCTCAAAGTTCTAACCATAGCCGATGAGAAGACCAAGAAAAAAGCCATCGAAGCTGCTGCAGATATCTACGGTATGCAAGCACAATAACCAGAACAATTAGAAATGCTTTATCAAATTTCTACTTTTGATGTAAAAAAAAATGGTGTGTGGGTGGTGGCAGGGGTTGATTCAATAGCGGCGGATCTAAAGGAACAGAAGCTGACGGTGATAGGGCAGATGGATGCAGTGGCGGTGGTGAAGAGGTTGAAGAAGGTGGGAAAAGTGGACATTGTGTCAGTTGGACCCGCAGTGGAAGAGAAGAAAGAAGAACCCAAGGAGGACAAACAATAATACTAATTAATAGTGGAAAATTACTGAAATTCTCTTCATGTGCGTGGTATATAGAAACAAGCTTTTATGCCTCCGTTGTAACGAAGCAGTAGAATTAATGTTCATTATGGCGATGGGCTTCCTTTTCTTGTTTGAAAGCTAAAACAATTGATTAAAACTCAAGGAGTAGACTGATGGTGTACCAAGCCTAGGATACGAGGCATCGTAAGGAACAATGCATACATTGTGTATTTCCAGTTGAAATTAAAGGTTTGATCATTTATTGATTTGAGTTCATACTCTAAAGTACTAGTAGACGCGGACACAGGCATTGTGTGTATAACTTTTGATGACTCTATGGACTATGATGGCTAAATATGATACGTAAGCTTCATACTGATATACATACTCTAAGTTGTAGTTTTTAATTTCTTTGTGATTTTAAAAACGCTTGTTTATATTTCTTCCCACTGTACTTATGTCTCTGTCCTTTGTAGTTATATCCTCAACGTTTTGTGATGAATTTTATGTATTATTGTGTTATTATCTTCTCTCTTAAAATCTATTTTGATGTTCCAACTAAGTATAATAATTTCCCCAAACATAATAAAAAATAATCCCAACCCCAACCCTAAAAATTCATACAAGTTAAACGAACATTTTCTTCGATTAGTCCTCAACTACGATCTTTTAACTGCATGATGTACATTTCATCTGAAGCGTTCAAACAAGATATTTTTTGGGTAAACTATCAGATTTTTTAATGGATAAATTATATCATTCATCCCTTAATTATCCTCTCACTCCTTTTTCAATTTGACTATCCAACTTTCTAATTGCTTATATTTTAATCACTCTAATTTATTTTATTAATAATATTTTTGTGACATGATATTTTCTTAATATACAATTAAAATAAAAAATTATTATTATTAATTTAGTTTATTAATAATAATTTTGTGACATGAGCATCTTATACTATGTTTAAAAAAAATCAATATATAAATATTAATATTATTAATAATTTATTTTTTTTAAAAAAAATTTATTATATTATATTTTCGAGTATTGTTTATGTGTTATGATACTAAGATGTACATTTCATGTCCAAATCGTTGTTGGGCCGTTGAGCTCTGATATCTATTAATCCAACTGATGAGCGGTGCATATTGTATTTTTTACTCACATTATGATTGTATTTTTTTTTTACTGTATGTTAATTTCGTTTTTTATGTGTTTTCTAATTTCCACGCAACATTATAAATCGTTCGTTTCTGTTGTAAATACCTAAACCTTCCTCATAAATAATCATGATCTTGTTATTTTTTCATATTCATAAAAAACCTAAAATATTAAATCTTAAAATTATAAAATAACAACTATAGTTTTAACTCTTTGACCAACGAAAACTTTTGTTAACCATTATAATGATGATGTGACCATTAATATTGCTCACATGAAGATTCATGTTACTGACGTAGTAGTTTATGTCCATGATGGCATGAAAGGTGAATTTAATCGATTGTTTTAGATAAGTCAATAGTTTAATTGACTTTTTATAAAATTTAAAAGCTTATTTAATTTTAAAAAATAATTTTTTTAATTTTTAATATATAAAACTCTACCTTTCTTTTGTTAAAAAATTTAAATTTAAAATATAAAAAATAACTGTTAAAAATTTTGAACACTTTTATCAAAAAAAATCTTCAACTTTTTATTAGCCTAAGTCAATTGTTATTTTTTTAGTATAACCACAAATATTTGATGTATTGATTAACTAATTCGGATCAAGTACTACAGAATCAATGGCGACCCTCCCAACCGTTTACTCCATTTGCAAACACCAGGATTCGAACTCCTAATCTTACTTAAAAGATTTAGTATCTCATCACACTAAACTAATTGGTTGTTGGTATAAATCGGTTGTTATTTATTGAACATATTTTCAGTCGAAAATATAACAATATTTACTATATTTTTTATTTTTATATATTTTATGCATATATTTAGACATAATGTAATTTATCGTTCATCCACAATTATACCATTTAAGACGTAAGAAAAAAATAAGTATATTCAATGGTTCTTCATTTTAAATCACTCTAAAATCCTAGCTAGCTTCTACATAAACTATATTATTATTATTCAAAAGGTCTATTTGACGAGAAGTTTAAGATAGAAGGCCCAGTTGATATCATGAATATTCAAAAGGCCTATCTGGTGCGAATTTTGAGCAATTGGCTTTTGAACCCTTAAACCCTTTCTTTCTCCTATTTAATTTCTTGTCGTCAATGCCTGTTAGGATCCAATCCATCTCCACACACAATTCACTAGAGATGGCTCAAAGTCGTGCGGAATCCCACTCCTTGATATGAATACTTTTAGTAACTTCAAAGGATCGTAAGATAGAAATACATTTATTCATTTTACTTTAGTTGTAACGTAGGTACAATGAATCATGTTGAGCACTAGAGCAGTAAGGAAGAATTACAATTGAAGTCAAGCACGGGTGAGGGAGGCATGCAATAGGGTTGGCTGGCTGGATTGAGATTTGCGAGCTTGACTGCATGACCCGCTGCTCAGCAATCCAGTTATTTCTTCATGGCAAAACTCGGAATTCTCGTTTGATTTCTTCAATATTTGTACATCTGTATCAAGCTTGACTAAATGATATTGTTCCGAAAGCTAATGGTTGGCTAACCTAGTTCTTCCACCTGAATTATGATCAGAAGCCTGCTTGTGAACTTTTCACCAACGCATTTCGGTGAAGCATCAGTTGATTTAAACACTTAACTCTGTTCAGTTCATGCCACTTTCCTCGTGTTATATAATCATTGATATGGCAGCAGTATTCTTAGTTTCACCTGAATAAAATGGTCTATTGAACAACTAACTCGAACCAATTTCTCCATAGCTTTATCAATCACAAAGCATGTAGATTAAACCTTGATCCTTGGCAAATGACCTACAAGTCACCAGACACCTCACTTGCACTTCAAAGTTCTGGTGAATACAATGTGATCCCGTAAGACCCAAGAGAGGTTCTGATCTGAGTCTTCAAAGTTGCATTTAGATGATAACACTCCGGTTAGGTAATGGAGAGCTAGGACTTAGATCCAAGGATGGGCTCATCGCTACATGGTCCTTCAGAAGTTGTCGAGAAACACGATCAGCTAATACAGACTGTCCATCATAAGATTCCCCATGAACCATTCTTCCATTTCCTAAAACATCATTTTCTGATGGCATCAGTTCAGAAAAGATGTGTGAACCTGCTTGCAGTCCACGAAAAATTTCGGGATTGTTATCATAATGGGAGGAGCCACTAACAAAAAGACCATTTGAGGGCTTCGGCATGCTTCCAAAACCCTCTTGAAAGTAAGCTGATTGTTTCAGATAACCAAAAGGCATAGCACCACTGCCACCTGTCAAGGGTGTAGATGAACCTGAGGTGGTCCGGGGGGTAGAAATGGGAGGAGGAGACGTTCTTCCATTTAGATGTTGTGGTGACCTTGAAAGTAGAAGAGGGCTTCCTATGGGTGAAACAGGGCAAGATACATTCCTAGGAATATTGATATCACTGCATAACAGGGAATTGAAATGAGAATCAGAATCATGCAGTATTGAAAAATTATCATTTTTATCTACTTACGCATTTGTGCATGTACGAGAGAGAGAGAGAGAGAGAGAGAGAGAGAGAGAGAGAGAGAGAGAGAGAGAGAGAGAGAGAGAGAGAGAGACCATATGTGCAGTTTTGAAACTCTGAACGAATGAACAGCAAGTTGATCCGACTTCAGGGAGGAATAAATCCTAGCCTGTCCAATGCCCTGATAAGCAGCAAGCCAGAGCAACAGTAAAGTTTGGTCAAATGTGAGAACATTCATGACGTAAACATGCAAAACATACTCAAGCCAAAAAGATGAACGGCATAACAAGCCACTTTTAAATCTGAACCAAGGAAAAGATGACATAAAAATTAAATGAGAACGTAATCAATAAGTATATCGGTCCCTGCCAATGGTCAAGTATTGCAGGAAGAGGCACAAAGCAACTAAGATTCGGAGCAGAAAGAGCAGCATTGCTTGCACAAGTAAAATTTAGAACACTTTCTATTTACTTAATAAGCATGCTTGCATCACCCTATTGCCATTGTAGTTCTTTACATTACCACAACTTATTCAGAATTTTTGGGTACTCCTAGATGGCTTGCATATAGGACTCCTTTTTCCCTTTTACCCTTGCAACTTGTCGATAAGAGTTTTAAAATTTTTTTCACTCCTATCCTTAACAAATTCACTTGTGAAATGCTGGTTGTGAGAAGCTTGTAAATAACTTGACTATGTTATCCAACACTTTCCTCCGTTTTGAGTAAAAAATCCAATGAGATTTAAGGACTCAAATGCCAGAACTCCATTGGGGTATTTTGGAGCCCACTTGGGCATATTTACACTTCTCTCTGTTTTTTCTTTTTTTTTTTTGATAAGATTTGAAGGCCTCATTACTGCCCCACCATGTTAACACTTCTCTATGTTAGCATGGTGTTCTATTTACTGCCACAGGTTGGTTTATTAATGGTCCATATTACACCCATGTAATCTAGGCATGGCATGACCGGCATGGCATGACCTTGATTTATATCTTGTAACACAATACACACCAAACCCCCAAAGAACATCTCCACCAACTACAATAAGAAACCAAGAAATAAGTGCACTACGAATGTCGATATCATATCATACCTTCAGTTCACATCCAGCTAATTATGGAGCATTTGCATATGAAGTGATGAAAACTTGAACAATTATTGAGCATTCAGAAAAAAATTATTCAAGTTGAAATACTTGAAAACATGACGGGCTATTGTTCGATGTACTACAGCAGCACCATTTTAAAGGAATTACACCCATGTAATCTAGGCATGGCATGACCTTGATTTATATCTTGTAACACAATACACACCAAACCCCCAAAGAACATCTCCACCAACTACAATAAGAAACCAAGAAATAAGTGCACTACGAATGTCGATATCATATCATACCTTCAGTTCACATCCAGCTAATCATGGAGCATTTGCATATGAAGTGATGAAAACTTGAACAATTATTGAGCATTCAGAAAAAAATTATTCAAGTTGAAATACTTGAAAACATGACGGGCTATTGTTCGATGTACTACAGCAGCACCATTTTAAAGAAATTACACCAAGTTTTGAAATTTATTTCAATTATAAATAGATATATATCCCCTAAATTAATTGTTGAAGGTAATGAACGCAGCAATATAATGCAGGCTGTAAACCTAAATAAAGCAATATAAAAAAGAAAAATACCGGAGTTTTCACCAGATTTGTCACACCAGGGGTAGGATCTGAAAGCTCAGCATCTAGAATAGGTCTTTCCAAAGGTGCAGCTGCAGCATATTTTACAAATGGGTGGCCTAAAAGCTGAATTGCAGTAGGACGATTTAGTGGGTTGCGTTGCAAACACTGACGCACAAAATCTTTTCCTTCATCTGAGAGGTAATCTGGAATGGGTGGAAGTTCCTTGCTATTTCCAATCTTGAACATAGCCGCAACCTGACATACACGTTTCACAAAATAAGTAGAAATAAAATAACTGCTATTGTTAAAGGCGCATTAAACAGCTTTGAAATTTAAAATATCCCATCTTTCTATTCTTGTAAGTTATAACAGACCCCTTCATATTGACTCCAAGGAGGTTTTGTTGTAGCCATTTCCAAAACAGTGCATCCAAGACTCCATATATCCACAGCAAGGTTGCAACCGCTAGGGTTTCTTATAATCTGGGGAAATAATAGGGAAAAAATGAGATACATTTTAAAGAAAACTTCATGACTGAAGAAAGCTCAACCATAAAAACCACGTCATTTCCCCTTTGTGATGGATTAGTACGAACTTGAAATAAACACAATGAGAAAAATAAGTCTAACCTCAGGTGCCAGCCAGTAAGGGCTTCCTTTAAACGAAAGTGGACAGGACTGACATGCAATCTGCAAAGCATACATTATATGTTGGAAATAACCTTACAGTAGAAGTCTAATAAATGAATAATAATATAGCATTAAATAAGTCATATATGATCTTCAAGCTTGGGCTAGCTATCATTGCTTTTTTAGCTAAAGGGCTAGGTACAACTTATTCTGATTAAGATCATTTATAACAAAAAGTAATTACACCCACACTTACATGCTTTGCCATCCCAAAGTCTGCCAACTTAACACGACCATTAGGGTCTACCAATATGTTTGCTCCTTTAATATCTCTGTACAAGAAATATAAGATGAATAATATTTTCCTTGATGCAAATATTAGTAGACAGATGCCATGAAGTTGTATTTCTAACATATCAAATAAGGAATAGATAACCTGACTCACCTATGGACAGTAGACTTGGAATGTAGGTAGGCAAGCCCAGACAAGATCTGTTGGGTGTAACTGCGAATTGCTAATTCACCAAGCTGCCCATAGTCCTGGAGAATTTTATAAATAGACCCACCAGATACATACTCAAGGTATATGTAAAGCTTGTCATCAACCTGTTCAGGAATTTATCCGAAAGCTCTGTAAGAGAAGCATGAAATTAATTTGCCCCTATCCATTTATTTTTGTAAGAATTTGCTTAACGAGTAACAGTGTTTTGTGGTTAGTAAGTGACCATAAAAATAATTCCCAAAAGTTTCTTAACATTTTATGGTTCACTATTTCTTAATATATAACGAACAACTCTTTTAGAAAGAACTCATTAGTCAATGCAACTTCCTAATACCTCAATAACAATTTTCAATAACCATACATGATGTAAAGGCCAATAAAACAGATTGTTGGACATAGGACACACCTTTTCAGACCCATAGTATTGCACTATATTTGGATGCTGTAAGCGGCTCAATAAAGCAATTTCCTGTTAGAGAAATAAGAAAATGAGTTTCTTTCAAAGTTAAAACCAAGTTAGAGAATAGCAAGGAAAGCATTATTTCATTTTGCATTATCTGGAGTTCTGGACAATTGAAAACTTCTTGAGCTAATCGAAAATTGGTCTACCTGCATCAACTGCTTAGCACTTTCTTTTGACTTGGCATCATCAGAAAATAAGGTAACCTCTTTCATTGCGCACATCTCACCACTCTCACTGTTTGATGTTGAAAATAAAATTAGATATAGACATAGTAACAAAAGGCAATCACCAACAAATATTTCAAAAGGGCAGACATGCTGAAATCGTCAGATCCCAGCTGGTTTAATATATGAAGTCAGATATTGCAAGAATCACATTTTATTGATAAAATAGTATAAACACTGAAACATCACTTTCAATCACTAATCTCAAATCTGGAATAGCAAAAGGCATAAACCACTGGGGAACAGATGTCATTTTTAAGAAAGGAAATTAGACAACTATTCCTTTGAACAATTATACCTGTTAAAACCAACATAAACATGACCAAATGTGCCTCTACCCAGAAGCTTTCCTTTTTTCCACCGTGACACCTGGTTTACAAGATTCTCTGCCCTTCCTGGACTCCGGGGTATGGAGGGAGATGTCGCTGCTGAATTTGAATGCGAGAAAGGAGAAGAGATGGAAGTAGTTGCAGGAGGAAGGGGCAACCTGTGGCTTTGTTGTTTTCCATCATCATGCCAACCAGTATGTGACTCGGTAGCTGTACATGCAGATCTAGGATGACTAGGAGTGACAGCCCCACTATGAATTCTAGAACTGGGACCAGCACTGGTCATCCTAGGACTTGGTATTGGAGAATACTCGGGGCTGCCCCTACTTGGTTGCCAAAATAGCTGTCCTGACATATCCCCACCCATTGAATTATGCCCAGAATTCTGACCAGATCCAGGACTGGAGCAAGGGCCGGATCCAAGCAAAGTGACATCAGTATAAGTCTTTCCTGCCCAGAAAGGAGAGTTCATTACTTGCTCTGTGCCAAAAGCACTCATTGGGCTTCTAGAAGGACTTGACATGGAGCTGTCAGGAACGCTGCTGAAAGCACCATGATGTGGGATTTGAATATTTCCCATATGATTGCTTAAAGGTCTTCTTTTAGGAGTTTTCGGAGAGATACTATTACCAAATGAAATGTTAGCCTGTTTACTAGCCTCTCTTGAGTTATTTTGGCTGACCATAGAGGATTGATCTTTGAGCATAACGCTTCAAACAGAAAATAAGTAAAACTTTGTTAAGAGTGAGCTTTTTTACCAAACAGAAGAGAGAAGAAAACCAGAAGTAAAACATAAAATACCAACTTGTTTTGGCAAGAACACATCTTCATTCTAGCACTAACAAGAAACAGATAGGCTCACCTGGAAGAGCTGCTTGCATCAGTTCTAGTCCCATTGTCATGATCATTTGCTCGCAGACTACGATTATGTGAATTGGTGGGATTGTCACTTTCAGTGGAGCTCTCACTGCTAACTGAAGCAGTAACGTAGTCTCCATCTATGTCATTAGGATTTAGTCTATGACGTATGCATCCAGGTCGTGGAAGAGGCAGAAATAATGATGACTTGGAGCCTTTTCCTGGCCTTGATTTTGATGATATGCTGATTCCAGAGCCTGTACGACCCACTATTGCAGGATGCTGATCAGGAAGTGGCAGTGGTTGAGCATTTGGCCTTTCAACAAAACTTTGACACCTAAAAACCTGTTTAGAGGGCGAAGGAGACCTAGATTGTGCGCAGGATTGAGATCCTTTTTCTGATGCTCTGTCATTGCCATGTCTATGTGATGCTCCTGACCTACAGTTTGGTTTACCTTCTGAAAGAATCTTAAATTTTCGGTGTATGGTATCAATGAGACTTTCCTTATTTGTTTTTTTCTTCACTTCTTTGGAAGATGACTTTCCCCACCATGAAAGCATGTTTCAAACTTTTATGGTCTGAGGTGACTACTTCGCAAGTTTTTCTAAAGCAAATTCATTTCTAAATATTGAAACTCTAGAGTTTGGCAACAATAAAATGTTTCAGTTCTTCAATACAGCAATCAATTCACAATAGAGAAGCTTTGAAGAAGTATCGAATTTGAGCTGGAATCCTATGAGCTTCACAACCAGCAGCATTTGCTACAATCTGAAGAAGAAAAACAACTAAAAAGTTCAGAGGAAAGGCTAAATACTTAGTGTTTCTCAAACCATTTGCACAACATGCTCAACATCTATCAGAATAGAGTACTGGTCCAAGCCACACGTCGAGTACCTGCTTTGAGTATTTATACAGGCAAACATAACATTCTTTTTTTCCTTTTCATGGCAATCTGTTTTTGTTAATACATGTTTGTCTATCCTCTATAACAAAAATTACATTGGATAGATTGAAACAATATAAATCATGCCACAAAAAAACCATGGCATCTCAAATTTATTAATTACTACACGAGATGCATGCCACTAAAAGATTTAGAACAGATATTATTATAAATCTGAAACCAGATCTCTTAAACATTAGAACACCGAAGCAGAACAACATTTTTTACTTCACCAATATAAACAAAAGAAACTATAATAAAAGGAAAATCACCAATGTAGGAAGTTTTCATTTTGCTAACTTTTTTGATTCTTTAGGTTTATAGGTTTTGTATTGATCGGGGTGTCGGCTGATTTTTTATTTCCTATGTTGGTCGTCCTTGTAATCCACTGTTCAGTGGATTTGCATCTTATTAACAAAATAACTATATTGCTGAGAAAAAAAACTGAAATTTAATACCAATCTGCAACAAACATTTCAAAAAATCCGTATATTATAACCCAAAAACACCAGTGTGAATTTCAAACTTTTTGATTGTTGACAACGTGATTTAATACTTTTAAATTTTTTCTTATTTTTCCTCTCCTATTGTCTCAGAAACCAAACAAGTAATTTCGATCTGAGAAGTGCTCAAACAGTAAGTTCCAACCAACAGATCTACATACAAACTCCAACGAGCCCCGTAATTAATTGAGATATAATGGCTACAGAATATTGCAAAACATAAAATAAAACAAAACAAAGAGAAAGAGAAAGAGAAAGGAACTTACATCACATATGCGAATCCGAGCTCCAATCAATTAATATATTAGGGTAAAATAGAGAGAAAATTTTGGGTTAGATCATCCAATAAACCGCCAGTTAAGAAGAAAAAACCATAACGGACTATTTAAAATAAACCCTAGAAATCTAAACTGGGAGAGATGGATTTGTCAAAGAAGAAATATTTTTTTTTTCATTTCAGCTTTAGAGAAACTGCGTAGATATGTGAGTTCAGAGATGGAGTTGTCCGAACGTTGATTTAGAATATTAAAAATAAATTTTACTAATCATAAGATAAAAATATTTTTAGCAGACTCAATGCAGACTGTAGCTACTGCAGTAAGTTTCCAGTCTAGTCAATTTTTTTATTTATTAATATAAAAGTAAGTGTTCAAATTATATCGATATTTTTATATAAATATCTAAATTATTTTTTGATCAATCTAAATATTTAACGGTACAAATGTTATCATTTTAAATATCTCGATTATAACGGTAGATAAATCTTTTGTTAATTGACACATATTGTATTTTAATAATTTTAAAGATTTTTTAAAATAAATTATTATATTTAAAACGATGAAAAAAAGGTGATCGGCATAAATATAAGATTTTCAAAGTTTTGTTAATTTTAAAAAAAATGAGTTTTTTAAAAGAAATTATATTTTTAAGTTTTTTATTTTAAATAAAATTTTATAAATTATCATAACGTGACAAATGTCACTCAACGAAATTTTTAATGCCGTTATGATCGAGACACTTAAAATAATAATATTGGTAATGTTAGACATCTGAATTGATCAAAAAATAGTTTGAACACTTAAACAAGAAAAATTGTATAATTTATGTACTTATTTTTATATTAACCCTTATTTTTTTATCCAACAATCTTTTATATTTATAGGTAAATTATAAACTTAGTAAATGAACTATCTTATCACTCCTATTTTATCCATTATACTTTTAATTTTTTTTAATTCAATAATTAAACTTTATATATTAGTTTTTAATCACAATGATATATATTATTTATTGTTATTTTAATATGAGATGTCATAATTTATTAATATTTTAATATCATATGGGATCATAATAAAAAATAAATTTTAAAATTTTAAATTATACATTTGAATCTTAAATTTTCAAATTATATTATAAATCTTAAACCTTAAGATTACGACTTTCATCTCACCCTCACTCTTGACTGACTACCACTAATGGACTATGGCTCATTGTGCTTTGATTTAAAAGGATTCACAAAATTTTAGCATATTTGGATTTTTCTAGATTCATGTATTCAACATATTTTTTAAAGGTTTGAATTTAGATTTTCTCATGAATTAAAATATCTTATGAATAATAATATTGAATTTATATTTGAATAGAAATACTTAAATAATTTGAAAATAAAAATATAATTTTAAAAAAATATATTTGTAATTTATAGATTCAAATTCAGGTAATCAAAATAATAGATATATATAATCAGTTATTCCTATATATTACATTATATGTTGTGCCAAGATTTAATGATATAAAAATAATCGTCAAATAACTTCAGTGATAAAAAATAAAATTAATTTTCTTTAATCACTAAAATTATTTAGTTCATGAATTTAATACAATTTAAATCTTAATTTATTACATTTTGTAAAAGTTTAATCACTGGGGATGTCTAAGGAAAGACATACTACTATAAGGTTTAAAATGGTAGATTAGGCACAACCGAAAATGTTGATTTAATCATAATATTTTAGGTTGAAATCATAAAAAAAAAATTGTTAACAAACAAACTTTTATTATCGGTAAGTGTTAGGTTTTGTGAAGAGGCTCAATTGACAACCGAAAGAGTGTAAAGGTGTTTAAAAGATAAAATTGAATTTAAGGAGTAAGGAGAGAAAAATATAAAACAATGAACAAAAGGATTTAAAGTGGTTCGACTTCTCAACCAAGTCTGCATCCACTACCTTAGCTCCAAACTAAGGATTTTCTAACAAATTCACTAATTTGTTCTTTCTTTTTAAAGGATCAAGAGATAACCTTTATAACTCCCTATCTTTTCAAGTGGCTAAGATAGAACCAAAAACCCTTTACAAAAGGAAAAAGAATGTAAACAAGAAAAACTCTAAACAAGGAAGGTGTTTACAAAATTTAGCTCACAAGAACAAAATATTTACAAGAGAATTGAAATAAAGAGTGAAAAGCTCTTCTCTTGTGTTTGATTGCTTGGATATGTGTTCTAACCCTTCTTCAAGTGTCTTGAACTTGTATTTATGTGTTGGAATGTTGTTGTGGTTGTTTCTAGCCGTTGAAGGTTGTTTGGAGCCGTCAGGGATCAATTTTCGTGCAAAATAAAATTACTCAGATCAATTCCACTTTTAAGGACTTTGAATTGTTTTTGAAAACTTTTGAATAAATTCAATTCAAGTCCAAAAATATTTTTGCCTTAAATTGTTATATCAAAATATAGTTCAATAGTAAGTATCGATACTTTTGAATTTTAAAATACCTGAAAATGAAAAGACTCAAAAGTATCAATATTATATATAAATATTGATACATAAGGAAAAGTATCGATTTAATATAGATAACATAACTGGTTAATGAAAGTTTTAATAAAATTTGAAGAAGAAAAAATGTTGTTCTTGTTTGAAATCAATTTTCCCTCTGAGTAATAGAAGCGAAATTGTAGTGAAACGGTTCCCACAAAACTCAAAATCGTAATTCGATATCGTTGAGAGGTATGTTCTTAAAACCCTAGCTTGTAGTCTTGTGAATTAAGAAATTAGGATCTAGAGTTTGGGGTTTATGAAGAAAAATAAAATTGGGATCGATTATGATAAGAGTTTATATAGAATGTTAACATTATAACTTGTAATTCATAAAACAAGTGTAAGTTAACATAAATATCGATACGTTTATATAATAGGTGTATAAAACATTATAGGTTGGAGTTAATAAACCAAATGTAGTGTAACATTATAGGTTAAAACGAAATTGTTATGTTATATATAACATAATAGGCTGTAATTGAAATTGTATTGGAATGGAGAAATTATTCCTTTGAAAATAATCGGTTACTATTGTAATACCCCAAATTTTGGTTAGTGACCAAAATGTAACTTTTGAAAGTTTGATGGCCAAAGTATAAAACTTGGAAGAATTTTAGGGAATTAAGTGATAAAGTACCTAAAAAAAATTTATTCCATTAATAGATAGTTTACTCTTGGGAGTAGGGTTTTATCGAAATTATATTTTGGATTTGGAATTTTAGTAAAGAAAAATTAGAAAAGGTTAAAGCAGTAAATAATCGGTAAATTCAGATTGAATTGCAATTTTACAAAAATTTGAAGGATGTTATAAAATGGTTGGAAATATTATTTTAATATTTTGGATCAGAGAAATTTAGTCTGGAAATGTGCAATTTTTCAGATTTAACTAAAACAGTGGAATTTAGTGACTAAAACGCAATTTTTGAAAATTCATGGGAATTTTCATAAATCAAAGTCTAAATAATTCATCTTTGACTTTGAAAGATGATAAGGATGAGTTGTCATGGTTTTGTGGTAAATAAGAAGATTCATTAAGGATGATTTGGTCTTATCTCAATTAAATGAATATTATATTCATTTAAGTGGAATATAATGTAAAATACTATGAAATGCACCCAACATATCATTTCATTTGCTCATATTCTCCAAATCAGCCGTGGGTTTTCTCCTAAGGTGAGAGAAAAACTTCAACTCAATTTTCAAGCAATTTACTCAGGATTTTGAGTAAGTTGTAAATAGGAAATTGTTATATATGAAAAACGCTATCTTTTGGTACTAATATTGCATGATAATCTTGTTGGTGTGCAAAGATCCCAAATTTTATAGGTTGTGTTCATAAAAAGGGATAATGAAATTGATGATGGATCTTGATGTTTGTGAGGTAGTTGATTCATATTCAAGCATGTATGATGATTAGAACATGTTTAATATTTCTAGAACTTGTTCTTTAAGTTTTGGTCATGGATTGTTTGAGTGAGAAAAATTATGGAAAAATTATATATGGGTTGGAAATAATGAAGAAAGTATTTTACAAGTCTTAGAAAAATTTGAGGACCATTTCGTAAATTTTGAAAAGTTGGAGATCAATTCATAAATTCTAGAAAATTGAGGGATTATTATATAAGTGTTGTATAATTGATGTATTATGCTGGAAATTGTTGACTGGGAATTTAAATGAGTGTTATATGTGAAAAATGATTATTTTGGAAGTTTGAAAAGATTTGTGATTTAAGTACAACATTTGTATAGTTGGGGTACTTAAATGTAATTATGCTTTTGTAAAAGCATTTGAATGGAAATAAATTCAATGCTGGAATTATTGGTATTAAAAATGTATGTGATAAAATGGTGAAGGACCATTTTGTGTAAATAGGAAAAGTTGGTTCCAATGTTAAAAGGAATTATTAAGAGATAAGTATTTTGATAGATAATGAGTTTCAAAAATATTATGGAGCTATTTTGGGATATGTTTATGTTAGTACAAAACTAACATATGTATTGTGATGAATTTGTGAATTATATAGATCATGATTGATTTTTGATCGAAGCAAGTCAAATAGAAAAGGGTTATTTTGGGCAATAGCGAGGAACAAATTTGGAAAATTTTAAAGTGTCAAGGTGAGTGCAATACATGCATGAAATTATACATGGATGTTTTATACATCATCAGGAAGACTTGCGAGAAGTCGACCTTATTTATATCAGTATGATATTGTTAACTTCCTAAAAAGGCTATTTTTAAGGCCTTTTCCACTTAAGTTATTGTTTGTTTAAAAGTTCATTTTAGGCATTTTAAGATCATGTAGTTGCATATAGTTGCATTTGTGGTGGTAGTGCTATTTTATTTCTTAATGATGCTGCTTGAGGGAAAGGTGTAGTTTGTCTATGATGTGCAGGAATAGCAAGCAAAAAGGATTTGTTTGGAAGTAATTCCGCGGCATCACACGTTGCTAAAGCAGATTGAAATGCCTTGGCATTTCTGGTGCAGAAAACGACAAAAAGATACAGTTGTATGAGGACAGCTGGCACTACATGTGGAATGATTGTTGTAGCCACCTTCTAGGGGACTAAGGCCACCTGGAGAATTAAGTTCATGCTTATGGTGTGATTCTAGGGGTATGAGGGGTATTTCTCACCTAACAACCTAATCATTACCCCTAGATCCTTTTAT